ATTGGGCGTCGCTGGCCCAGGGATCGTGGTTCGGGTCGAGGACGGGACGAGAAGGTGTGATAAGGGTCGATAACCAAGCGAAGTAGACGAAAATAAAAGAGGATGATGGGTTTTATTGTTGGAAGAGAGGGGAAAAGATTGAGATGGCGCGGGTTAGAAGAAGTGACGGGATGGAGATGATAATTCCAGTAAATGTCTTTTTGGGGCAAGGTCAAGGTGAGTTGAGGTGGGCGTGCGCGGGCGGAAGACTATGGCCTGGCATGGCCTGGCTTGGGGGTGTGTTGCTTTTCGTACAGTGCGCTTAGAGGTAGGTTCGTCGAGTGAAGTAAAGGAGAGGTATAGTAGGTATGGAAATTAAGGTAAACTTCGAGCAGGATGCAGCTGATGGTTTCCAAGTTTTTTTTTTTTTTTTATTCTCAAAAGAGTTGTCTAGTGCAAATACAAAAAAGGTACAGTAACAGAGAGAAGATTGAAATAGAGTTGACAGAAAGTAAGTTAGTGAAGGCATTCGGTATTGGTAAGTGGAAGGAACGACCTAGAGGCAGCCAAGTGCGTGCCTGCCCAGTGGCACTGGTGCTGATACTGGCTGAGAAGTGAGAAGCTTCTCTCATCGAATAATCAGATTACCTCACTTGTTCATCTTCTTTACCACAGTCGGACGGTTATCGGGGATACCAAACTCGAACGTATTGCTTACATCACCTTCTATTTCAGGGTTTAAACATGCTGCTCAGACTGTATTTGTACAGACTGACGTTAGCCTGTTGTGTTGCAATTACAACCTCCCTATGAGGCTGAAGATGGATGTCGAGATTTTCGGTATTCGGGTTTGTTGTTGTTGTAAATAAACACAGTTCAATTACCGTACTAAAGTGATGCTGGTTCGGCGCCATCCGCTCAATTTCAAGTCAAGTCTCGTCTGGTCTCAAACTTGAACTGAACTGAGCCCGAACCCAACAAGGGACATTAGTACAAGTCCCTGAGTCCCCTACCCTACCTTGCAGAAGAATGACCCCGCCTCTCGATAGCGATAACGGGTTTGAAGATGCGTGCGGATACGTTTGCAGGAGATGAGATAGGCTTAGAGGTATCGAGAGTGGATGCGCTGAGAGATGTCCATGACATCAGCGACGCTGGAAGCGAATTTATGAGTTGTTTGCAGCAACCCTGCCAATATTGATTCCCTGACTCCCAACAGAAAGAAAGAAAAGACAGCTCAGAGATTGATGGACTACACCGTACCTTTTGTCTGTGTTTTTGGTAGCTGACAAAACAGCGGTGTCTTTTACGCAATATTATATGGGAAGAGAGCTGCCAGTTAGCTGGTTCTGGGTCTCAACTGAATCATGATGAGGATCGAGGTACATATACAGTACGTATCTTGACTAGGTATTCGGATCCGATGGATGCTTGAGAACGTGTCCACATACAAGAAACACTCCACAGTGCGTGCGATTTCAATCGGTCCAAGTGAGGAACTTAGACGGGATAGGATGGGCCAGACGAGACCAGGTGGAGGACGATCCCTTAGGTTTGCAATTGCAATGCACAGGTAAGGGATCTCTGAAACGAACAGACCTTCAACTAACGGTGGGGGGGTTTTCGCTTTGGCGGGGTTTCAATCTCACCAGAGTTCTCTATTGATTGCATTTACATTGCATGGCAGATTGCATGATTCCTCTCTGCAATTTCACAATACTTCTTGAATCTTGGCCGACAAAGTGACCTAGGTACTAGTCTTCCTGACCCATCGCCTATCTCGGCTTATAACCGCCAACAAAGACCCTGCTGTAAAAATAGCTGGCGTTGTTACTAGTTTATTAGTACCCAACTTGGCATGAAACAAGCTCCCAATATCGAGATTCTCTCAAGATTTCGGTGAAAACGGCATGGCACTTTATTTTGATCACGAGAGTCCCTTGACAGGACAGGATTGTTCAGAATTACTGTCAGGTTGAAAGTATAAGCGAGTTTTACCTCGACCCCGCCAGGAAAGGCTTCAACAACAGGATTCTACAACACCAGCTGATCAGTGAAATATGATATGTATGAATGTTCATCTCATGATAGGCTATCAACTTTTCAGCATGTACATAGCCATACCAAGACTCCTAAGCTTATGGTTCCTTTCGGCTCGGAGCGGCTTCCGTAACCTTCCAGGACTAACTGTAATGCTGTACATTACATGATCCAGCCGTCTCATGGCATGCATGGCCCTTTCTGTAATTGCTCAGCTGTTGCCACAAACAATGTTCTTCTTGATTCTTCTCAGAGGTTCAATCTTACCAGCCTCGCCGCATCAAACTCGACATCAACCATTGGTCGGTAGCCCGGAGACCCCTAGAGTCCAATACAGTAGATTTTAAATTTGCCCCGGAGCTTGCTGAACCGTCAATACGGATACGGGTTCGTTGCAAGCTTTTTGCATGTACGCAGTATATAAGGTTACGCATTCTTTCGTTATCCCCGTGGCCGGAGCAAATCAAGCGACTGCAGCTGGCGTATTGCCACTATCTGCAACAGGGATTCTGTCGTCTTGTCCGATGCTCTACTGTACTGTACTTCGCTCGAGTCATCTGGATACATTAGTCTTGGCCATGCTGTACCAAGACCAGACTTGCATCGACGACTTTGATAGCCTGCGACACGTTCCACTTCTTTTCACGATATAGCTGTGATAGGCACTTTTAGCCGCAAGGCTACATCTGATGAGCGGTCTGTATCTTTTGGTTACAGCGATAACAAAACAAGGGCAAGAGTCACCATCAACATGTCCGCTGATTACTCTGATATCGTGCACTGCTTGCTATCTTCACATGCTCTTCCCTAGGTGGCTATAAGGTGAGTATACTCGACGGCCTTTAATAGGTCACTACACCTATCAACTACATATCACAAGCCTTGTCCTAGTGTGATGAATGATCGCCTTTCAGCATCTACTGCAACCTTCCCATGTGGTTGTTGTGTAGCAGCTGATTACCTTATTGGGCAATACCCCGATTGTGATACCCAAAACTAGATACATCAACTTGCTAGCCGCGGCGGTATGGCAATATAGCGACATTTAGTATTGGGTGGTCTAGTGAAACATGCCAGGGGTCAGCAGCGAAGCATACATGGAATTGGTAGTTGAGATGCATGGCGTCTTTTGGCTGGGACTATGCTATCTCGTCAGCTTATGATATTAATGCTGAGCCGCCCTCTGTATGCAAGGCCTATAGCAACATACGCACAAGTTCTCATAGGCTTGTTGAAATGCTGGATTGGTTTGAAGCATCTCGAGCTGCATCGGTTCGTGAGACTAACACCCTGCCAACCCATGCAAAGCTGGTCACGATCTGTGTAGCGGATGTACCTATGACACCGAATACTGGTTGGTATATAAATAGGACTTGCGGGATGGTGTAGCTAGCTGACCTAACAAAAGGTAGGTCGTCTCATTTGCCAAAGACATGACTCCAAGCAAGTGGTGCTTGATTGGATCTGATAGGTTCTCGACTTGGTTACATGTCTTAGTAGAGGAAACCTTTTATCTGCTACCGGAGACCTGCCACAGGGTAACCAGACTGTAGCAAGTATAACCATTGCTTTGCTCTGATTACAAAAGCCATAGTCAAGAACAATTTTCCATGGTATGGTATCTAATCATTGGACGCCCGAAGAGCTCCGACTTACAAAGTAAGTCAGCTGTGATTATGTCACTTTCACACCGGCACTGGGCTGCCCTTTGAAGCGAATAGTACGGAATATCATAACCATTAAAAACTCCATGCCATAATGAATATCAAGTGTCCTTGGAGACCATGACCGCAAGTTCCCGATTATGGTTGGTCTCTATTGTGATGTTGGGTTCGCTGTTCTCGAGCTTCACCCTTTTATACCACGTTCTTCATCCAAGCTTATGTTTGGCTCCTAGACTCCTCCAGCATCTGGTGCCATCTCTCTTCCATGTCCGATGTGACTCCTTGAGGGTAGGTCTTGAGCTGGGATCGAGGTGCGAGAGGGTCTGGATAGTTTACTAGAAGGCTTGTTAATGACAGCTACACCGATGTGAAGCTTTGATAGGCAGGGTAAGAACTCACAAATGCTGACATGCGTATCCGTCAGTTTCGACCGTACTGTATCGTTTTCCTCTGGAATTCTTCTCGAACTACTGTTGGCACCTCGTTCGGCCATTTCGTGCTGCTGCGTAGCTGAACGGAGTCCACCGGCCATTGAAACTGTCCAAGAACTCGTATAATACAGCTAGTGAGAAAAAAAGGTTGGCTTTTGTAGACTGAGAAGGCCTTGATATTGTCTTCCAAATTTTATTGATGATAGAGAGAAAGTCGGCAAGATGATTTTACAAGACAAGAACTTGTTTTCTTTGGCGGTATTGGATTGGATCTTACGTAGTAGGCATATACGCTGGCCGTGCCTGGGTTGGAGCCATGGATGCTGAATTAAACAGTGGCTTAGATCCGGATTCCAGCCCAGCGTGGCTGCCCCATTAGAATGACAAGCCACCCCGCAATATTCCATGAATTTCAAGCCTTGAACAAAGACATTAGAGAGGTAAAGAACGGTTGGTATAAATTATATCTAGGCTTTTACTTTATAAACTTCTCTACAAATACTGTACTCAGAAGACACTAGATAGATATCAAGCACCATGCGATTAATCATAGGCCTATATAGCATTGGCAATTCCATTAGCAGAGCCACCTTGGACAGTACCCAGATCTTACGTCGTGAGTTCCATTCTCAGCCAGCTCAGCTCTCCAAGTCTAGCTCCCGGGCCCAGCCCAAAACCCACCAAGACCACCCTGAGCCTGGCCAGTTTCTTTTTCTCTTTCAACCACAATCCAAAGGTACCGTACCGAACCTCCAACCATTGACTTTGTCTCGCCCATGCCCGACTTCACGATATCCAACAAGACTGTTAAACATCATTTCCCCCGACGAAGACGACGACGTTGACACAACCTGAACCATCGTCACAAAGACGAAAGTTATTCATTATGGGCAAGAATTCGACGCCAGTCCCTGACGCTTGGGAGGATGATTGGGAGACCCAAGCAGACAAAATGGCCAATAAACCGGAACAGCCTGCACCACAAGCACCTCTATCCAAGGCAGAGCGCTTAGCACAGCATGCTGAGCAGAATCGCAAGCTCTGGGAGTCTGCGTAAGCCCTTCTACTTCAGTGGCCTGTTCGACTGTTCGCTAATACGGGGATTCTACATGACAGCGATGCTCCGCCAACTTTCAACTATTATGAAACTAGCACCTCAGGAGTCTCTCTTAATACCACTCCATTCAAGCCCCAGGTCAAAGTCCTTAGCCGGAAGCCTGTCATCGCTAAGCGTGATGCTGCAGCAGGCATGTCCGGGCTCTCGCTCGACGACGAGAATGACCCCAAGAAGGAAGTACCGATGAGCCCAGAGGAAATTCGAGCGAAGCAGAAGCGTGACAGGGAGGAGAAGCAACGTCGGTATGAAGAGGCCAGAGCCAAGATCTTTGGAGAATCAAACCCATCATCGGGAGCCTCCTCACCTGGCGCTGTTACCCCGCCAAAAGCTGATGGATACACTGGCCGCGGCCGTGGGCGAGGAAGAGGTGGTTACAGAAACAACGAAACCCGTCAATTCGAGAACCGCCAACCAGATAGTCGTGGCTTTGATGCTCCGCGCAGAATGCAGAATGTGTCAGGTTCAGGGCGTGAGTTGTTCGACCCAAACCACTCACCAAAGCCTGAACAGGTATCACAAAGACGTCAGCCAGAATATTCATCGCCTGGAAGAAGCACGACTCCTCGGGACGGACAGCAGCAAACACAGCCGCAAGCACCAATTCGAGCACCTAAGGGGCCGGATGGAACTGGCCGAGGAGGTTTCGGCTTTACTCAACGAGGTGGTAAGGGCAGTTGATTATTTCTATCGACAAGCTCTACCATCCACCTCCGATCTTTCCAGCCAACTGAACCACTGTTTCGTCTGTGGTTGCGTCCTTTCCAACGTCGCTAATAACCTCGCGATATGTTGTAAATGCAAGTCTATCTAGTCCAATATCTGTGACCGCCGCCCAATGCGCCAGGGTATCATGTATATACGAATGAGAAATGCCATCAACAGCTCCCGCAGACTCATCAACACCGGCTTTGGCGGCGCGTGCTTCGTCTCCGGAGAAGTACGCCTCGTCAACTTCCGCAAGCCAACTCTTTTGCTCCTGAGGACCTGGGTTTCCAGAGTAATTCTTTCGCTCCATAACAACAGGGTCATCAACTTTGATTTGACCACCGCCGTTTGTGCAGCCTCCAGGACATGCCATAACTTCGACATAACTATATTCAAGAGAGCCTGCTTTGCCTGCCGGTCTTCGGGCACTTCCAAACGGCTTTCCGCCCGGCATTCGGGATGGCTTGGCAGGCTTTAGTCTTCGAACAAGATTTTGAATGTTCCGGAAACCATAATAACGAGCGGCACGGAATACTGGTTCACCGTTTACAACAACCGAGTACTCTGCCACATCGACATTACGACCACGGGTATGCACAATCTCCGCTCCAAGGGTCTGCGCCGCTCGGCTCTTGAGGATATGCCATAACAAGCCACCTGATGTACCGGCCTCGCGAGGTGGATTTCCCGGCAGTTGTCGTGGGAAAAGAAAGTCGTGAAGTTTGGGATCGGGGAACGGATTGCTCTTGGTTGACAGTGGCGTTTTGGGGATATTGAAGAAATTCAACCCCCTTGACTCGGCAAGCATGAGAATCTCTTTACTTGTGATAACGCAGTCAACATCACGAACACCCCGGCCTCGAGTTTCTCCTTCAGCCCATACCTCCTCTGTTAACTCTTCTCGACTGGCTTCGAGTTTCTTATCGAAGCAGGGCATGATAGCCAGGTGCCAAATGCGTCCAGGCGCAATACCCAATGTCCGGCTCAATGTCGTCTTGAGCAATGTACCCATCAAGGCTTGTGGCGACTTGACCTTTGAAATATGGGGTAGAACATGAGGATGGGTCTTCTCAGCATAACACACCCAGCCAGGGCAGGATGATGCTAGGATCGGCTTGGCTGGAGTCGCGGGCGTGGATTGTGAGGAGTTGAGAACTTCGTCTGCGCCGAGGACGAGAGTTGCTTCTCTCGCGGTGTTGGTATCGACCACCCATGTGAACTCATTGTTGTATTTGCCGCCACTCGCAACACCTTCAGGTCCACGAAAGAGGTTGTCAAGCATGTGGCCAACTTGAGCCTCCGAAACACCCCCGCCGCATGCTGCCGCTAGGTTTGCTCTTGTTTGAGGGCTCACACTGGCAACAAAGAGCTTCGCGTTCTCGTCCTCTAACCCTTCCACTCTGAATTTGCCGCTGTCGTCGGTCACCAGCTTCAGTGCTGGGGCCGAATCGAGGGTTGTGAGGACTTCAGCATGACTCTGCAGGCTTACTAGAACAGCCTCGGCGGATGTGACGCAGCCAGAACAGGCTAGACAATCTGTAAGGGAAATCTGAGCGGGTGCGTTTGGGTTTGCGCTGGGTTGTTGGCCGTCAAGTATAACTTCGGTCTCGAGTGACTGCGATTGCGGGGGCGGGGCGGAGGGAAGAGTTTCGACGGGTTTAATGCAGGCGACACCGGGAGAGATGAAGTCGTTGAGGTCGTCGGCAGAAAGAATGGCACTCATTGCGCCGGTTGTTTCGTTTATGAGTTATGCTGAAAGAGTAATACGGGTATCGTTCAAGGTATGAAGAGGAGAGTTCGTAGTTGTAGTGGTCGCAGTGCGCCGTAGGCTGAAGAGTTGCCCCTCTAGAAATTTTAGATGGGGAACTTGGACGTAACTAGCTGACAAATAAAGTTGTTCAATATTTCGTGACAGAGCGAAGTATAATGAGGTGATCGTTATATCATGAATAAAAAGAGATCAATCTCGAGACAAAAAGATAAAATGATTATGGTCTTGATAAGTGACTCGACCCCAGAACAGCCCGCATGTGGTTTGTATAACTAACTCCTCGGAGCCTCGGACACGGCGAAGACGGCGAAGACGGCGTATCAGACCGTGATAAAGGTAATAGATAGGCAATAAAGACGTTATGATTTGCGGGACTGACAACCGAGATCGGCCCCTCCTCTCTCGGGACCAGTTCCAGAAGAACGCGGCTCTGTCTTTTTTTCTTGGGTGGCAATGGACCTTTTCATTCGGTTCGGAAGTGGGGGGCTGAATTGGATGGCCGGATGCAGTGGGCGGTTGATACGTACCCTGGTGGTGACGTCGGCAGATCGTCTGCCATGCGACATGTTGACGCGAACAAGGTCCAGAGCTTCAATTCACGACATATTTTGGCCTCCTTCCTTCAGATTTGTCTCTTGATAAATCACAGCATTGAAATCAATTAACTGATCTAAAGCTTCTTTAGCAACTTTCTTAACAATGAGTGTATGTAGCCTGCTCATAATCTCTCGATTCACCAACTGACTGATCGCAGGCCATCGCTTCATATAGCTACGGAAACTTCGCCTGGTTAGGAACCCAGGCACTTCCCCTTATCCTCTGGCCTTCCTTTGTTGGATCGCTTCTTCGATCTGAGGGCGAGCCTTCTTCTCGTGCGTTCCCTATAGACCTTGACGGTTGTCGCGACTAATAGCCGTGTAGCTCTCGAGACCTACTTTGGTCGATCGCTTGGCCTAGCTCTTCTTGCGCTTGGCTTCACTATAATCGTTCTCTCAGGCGCTCTTCCTCTTGATTCTACTTCAAAGGGTAAATAATTCCACTTCCCGTTCAAAACTGCAGTAACTAACACCGCGCAGAAGCTCCGGATGGGGCACCCTCTCCTTACGCTTCCGCTGCTGTCCTCGTATCCACTCTACACAATGTAGCGAGCGCCTTCTACTGCTACGGTCGCTTCGCCTGGACCCGAGAGACAGGTTTCTTGCTTGGCTGTGTAGGCAGCGCAATCTTTGCGACTTTCGGACTCTACTGCGTTATGTTTGCGGGCGACAAAGCTATGACGAGCCGGTACCACAAGTTTGACCAGAGCACAAGCGGATTTCCATTCAAGAACTCGCAATCTTACCGGGCCAAGAAGAAGGCACTGTAGAGGAGCCTGGCATTAGGTATATGTGGAGGAAGCGCATAGTATTAAACCATAGTTTCGTCTAGCCATTAGGGCTCTATAAACCTGTCTGCTGTATAAAAGCCTCCAATTCCCGTTAACAACTCCTTCAACTCCCTTTCCATGTTTCTTACCAGTTTACAAGTTCTTACGTCGATGAAGGGCGAAGAGACGGATCCAAAATTGGATGACGGTTGTAAAAATTAGTCATCCGTTGAGCCTTTGTCTCGCGAGGCCTACGAGCCCTTATACCGCGGGTCTGATGAGCCCTTGTCTCGGGAGTGTGAGGCTCCTACACCTCAATTTCAGGCGCCTGAATCCCACTGGCTGCTGTGCTTTGATCCTCATATTGAGTTCCGTTGGTTTTCTCGCCTTCCACACTCTCGACGGTTCCTGGAACGTGTACATCGACAGCACCTGTAAGAATAGCCTGTCGTCGCTCGTGCCAGTTGGCTTCGCTCTTGATGACTTGATGCAGAAGTACTTCCTTCTCACGCCACTCCTGGAAGTAAATATCCTCCCACTCCTTGCATTCTTTTGTAAGCGACACGCCAATTTCCTCAGCCCACTTGTGTTCCCAGTAGCACTTTCGATAGAGCTTGTCGACGGGGAGTTGAAGTTCGTCGGGGGTAAAAATGTCCTCCGTCAATGGTGTAAAGTATTCAGCGTTGGCCTCGTCACCGTTCATATCATCCATGTCGTCGTGGGGACCTTGCGATTGCTGGTTGGTCTTCATGATAATCTTGATCTTGCCTCCCTTGCCCTGAGGCCCGGATTGCATCGACTTCGGAACTGGGTCGGAGGGGCGGAGAGCTTCTGTCTCATGGACTGTTCGCATATGCTTGGCCAGCGCATCTGATCTCGTGAATGATCGGTCGCACTCTGTTACAGATTAGTGATGGTGGACGAGAGTTTGGAGAGGCCGGGCATACCAGGCAAGTAACAGTAAAATGGCTTCTCCCTCGTATGACTGCGCATATGAGCCTTGAGCGCATAGCCGCTTGCATGAGGCAATCCCTTTCTGGTGCAGCTCATCCATTCGCATGTATACTTCTTTTGTCGGTTCTCAATATGAGAGTTGTGAATATGCTCGACCAATTTATCCATGTTGCCCTGGTCGCCAGCTGGACAACCATCCCAGTCGCATTTTGTCACTTGCTCTTGAAAATCCTCTTCATCAAGACGCGCATTGATCGGGGAGCTGGGAATATCGCCTGAAGTGTCAGAAGAGACGTCGGACATGCCCTCGAGAGGGTCGGGCTCTGGTACGGCTTCGGGTTCAGCATCAGGGACTACTGCTGATGATGTTGTTGATCCGGCCTCGAGACGTTGGCGCTTTGAGGGTCGCAGTGTAGATTCATCGAACTCATGGCCGCCATCTTCGTATGTTTCCGATTCGTACGTCGATGATAGCGGTGACTCGGGGGGTGAAGAATCGCGTGCCATGTTCGCGCTATTGATGTTGAGGCGCGTCTCCTTTGTCGATAAAGCTGGGGGCGATTGTGAGGATGCCGGAAGATTTTAAGGGGGAAACGTAAGTTGTGGAGGTCGGAAAAGGTTAACTTCTTGATGATAAGGATAAGAGAGTTTGGGAATGTCCTTGTCAAGCATGCGGGCGATAAAGTAAATTCGCTGCGCAGTCTGTTGTTCAAAAAACGCCAGTTGGAAGCTTAGCAACACAGTGTTAAAACAGACATATCATCTGCATCAGTGTCGCATAATTTCCGCGATAGATGCACAGTACACATACGCCACTAGAGACGGTATGTGATATACCAGTCGGACATGGAGATTACTGAGTCAATTGGTCCAATAATAAAAAGAAACGCAACAATCACAAGCTTTTCTCAGTACGGTTTCTGCTAAACGACATCTTTTATTTGATGCTTTTTTATCTATCCCTTAAATCAATCCTTAACTCCAGGCCTTGAACCCAATATACGAGCTATTGCAACAACACAAATCCCCTTTTTTACGAAATCTCATGTTTCACTAAGTGCAGACAATATAGTTGCCCTAGCATAGTAGATATCAAGTTTAAGCACCATTTGAGTTGGCAAGCTTGCGGCGCTCTTTCACGGCCTGCGCAAGTGTGTCGAGTGTAGAGACAGTGTCCTCCCAGCTGATGCAAGCATCAGTGATGCTGACACCGTACTTGAGGCCGGACTTGCCCTCGGCAGGAACCTTTTGGTTACCTGATAACATGTTAGCCAATGCTCGTTGTATAGACACAGACGGATATAACATACCCTCGTTGATGTTGCTCTCGATCATAACTCCCATAATAGCATCCTCGCCCTTGGAGATCTGACCGGCGATATCAGCAGCGACCTTGGGCTGGTTCTTGTGGTCCTTGGAAGAGTTTCCATGACTGCAGTCAATCATAACTCGCTGTCGCACGCCCTTCTTTCCAAGCGCCTCCTTAGCAGCAGCAATGCTTTCGGCATCGAAGTTGGTACCCTTGGAGCCACCTCGGAGGATAACGAAGCAGTCATTGTTGCCTTCAGTACCAACGATGGCAACAACACCAGGCTTAGTGACCGAAAGGAAATGGTGAGGATGTTGGGCCGCGCCAATGGCATCAATAGCAACGCCCAAAGAACCATCAGTGCCGTTCTTGAAACCCACAGGGAAACTCAGACCACTGGCAAGCTCACGGTGAAGCTGGCTCTCAGTTGTTCGGGCACCAATGGCACCGACTGAAAGCAGATCAGCGAGGAACTGGGGAGAAATAGTATCCAGCATTTCGCTAGCAATAGGCATGCCCTTGGCAGTTAGGTCAACAAAGAGCTGTCTGGAGACTCGCAGGCCCTTGTTAATCTTGAAGCTGCCGTCAATATCAGGATCGTTAATCAGACCCTTCCAGCCAACAGTTGTGCGTGGCTTCTCGAGGTAAGATCGCATAACGATAAGAAGTTCATCTTTGTGCTTCTCCTTCTCCTTCAAGAGAAGGTCGCAGTAGGCAAGGGCAGCCGCTGGGTCGTGAATGGAACAGGGGCCAATGACGACAAGCAATCGGTTCTTCTCGTCGCTGCCATTGACAATAGCAACAGTCTCATTACGGCCCTCGAGGACTGTCTTCTTGGATTCGGGGGATTGGGAGATCTCGTGCTGGAGCAGGTCGGGAGGAGTCAAAGGGTTGTAACCACGAACTGGGTAAGATTTAGTAAATGCGCCGAGGTGATGGCCGTGTAAGCCAAAGCTTATAGTTTGAACTCACTTCTCCAATCTTCGGAGTCAGCTTGGTTGCCAACGTTCTTGTTGGGGATGAAGAACTAGAACTATCGTGAGTCACTGCCCAAATCAAAAGCGAGGAAGCTTGGAGGGGTAGACTTACAGAAGCGGACATGATGACGGCGATGGTGGGGTGTAGGATACAAGGTAGAGTTGATAGTTAAGAAGTACGTAAAACAGGTTCAATCGCACAGATGCTACAGCAAAAGGCGAGGGTATCAAAAGAGGCGAATGTGAAGAAGTAAAGAAGAGAAATCAAGATGCAGTCGCAATGAGAACAAAAAAATTATAAGGCAAGCCCGTTTATGGTTTCCAGACCCTGACCTGTCCCTTCCTTCCCGTCCTCCCCTTCCAATTGCGCCGGCCTCGGGGTGTCACACTCAAGAGAGTCACTTCATGGTTGTGATTGTCCCTCCACTGATTGGATGCACTGCTCTATGCCCCACACCATTATTGTCCGGTTTAGCAGCTTAAACCAAAGAAAGGTACAAGTTGCGCCCATGCAATCCCAGCAGAGGATCAAGTACCCATTCCCATTGTCTTCCTTCTCCCCCCTTGTACCTAAGTGAAAGCTCCAGAATTTTAGCTTGACTCACTTTTGACCCAAAAGATCAGAATGGCCACTGCTTGCCACTCATTGTTAGCCACCAGCTACTAGTTTTTGACACTAATACAAGCCGAACGTTAGGATCGCCATTTATCAAATTGTGCTAGTTGGGCTGAAACTTCTTTGTTCGGAAATCATGAAATTGTGAATGTGAGTGTTCATAGCTCAGTCTCCTATAATATGCGGCGAGATGAACTACTATATCAAGCTTAACATGTGCCTTGTTCACCAACAAACTAGACGTCCACTACTGATATAGTCTCCGTGCACACGGTAAATTCTATTATTCCAATTGGTCAAGTTGCATCGTGGCTCTTGGCTTTGGATTGTTGTTCCATTGGAAGGCAAACAGACAGGACAATACTTGACGCCTGCTAGCTGAATACTTTAACAGGTGCTGAGCAAACGAGGAAAGACGTGCTGTCAAAAAGAATAAACAGGGACCAAAAATTGTTCCTGCGTATAGCAGGTGACTGGAATTCTTCCTCCAAGGATTTGGTCTTGCATAGGTACTGACCAATATCTCCTTGGTGCCCCAGTTGCCTAGCTAAACAGAAGCCTCAGAGGTGAAGATAGATACTTTCTCCTACCCTTAGACTTACTAAAATGTGTAGTTCTTATTAGCAGCTCTCCATGATCTTCTGCAGGAATGGTGCGAGTCGCTCGTTTTACAAATGTCAGAACCAACCACTCCCGCACCCTATTATTCCATTAGAAGGTAAGCAGAAAGAACAGCAGGCTGCTATCTGAACTAGCAACAAAAAGAATAGATCGAGACATAAAAAACGATTCCTGCGTATCGCAGGTGGCTGGAACTCTCCCGCCGGGAATTGAACCCGGGTCTCAAGCGTGACAAGCTTGCATACTGACCACTATACTACGGAAGACATGATTGGCTAAGCCAATCGTAGCGGAGTTCGATGTCTGCAGCTCTGCATTTGATCTCTATATACCCCTGACGCTGTTGAGTCGGAAAGTAGTAAGTAAATGCTGTAGCGAATCTCATATCTTGAGCTCTTTGGTGCAATGTCGTTCTCATCATCTTATTCATTTATTCTGGAACCCTATGTGCGAATGAACGCGGTGATACAATGTTGTTTGGACACTTCTCTTATATTGTTTACCAACACTATATACTGAAGTGGGAAATCTTGCCAGAGAACTCAAAGGCCGGTGAAACCCCTCTCCTCACTCCTCGAACAACTTCACGCCGAGGATTCCCTTGAAACTATATCCTTTTGAGTTTAATATCCCTGCCTGGTCCAGAAAGTCAACACCTCTTTTCTGAGTCTAGAGGCCCAAAATCTTCCCGGCCGTGAAGCTGGTCTTGCAGTGAAACTTGCGGTATCCATGAACTGATTCACTTTGTAACCCAAGGTTTATTTTACGCTTGCAATCGTAGTCGTTGCCTGTAATGACGTAGCAATCACCATATTTCTTTCCGTCGACTGTTCAGACTGATTAGCAATACGCTCTCTCAAGACTGGGGGTGTACTTACGTCCATACATGCCGTAGTTGCGGTCTTTGTAAATGGCTATAGAGCGAATGTCAGTCTCTTCTCTGACTCTGGGTTGTTATAAGACTTACTCCAATGGTACACTGGAGCTTTGTGACGGAAGTTCATCTCCAGCTGCGTGATATCTCGAGTAGGGCCCAGGAAACCGCACGCTCCCCTGCAACGGACGCCAGTCTTACTACCGCTGGCATCGTATGTGTCAGGGAAAAACTCCCGATCAAAGACTGAGCTGCAAGTGTTTGGCTGATTTCGATCCCAGATCTGCCACGACTCCAACACGAAACCTCCTTTTTTGTGATCGACTTTGAAGATATCGAAGTCAGCTTGGGCGGCTGGCAGAAACGTAGCCAGCAGGGCTGTAGCGAGGACGGTGAATTTCATGATGCTGAAGTTTCTCAAATGGCGAACGGAGCGATGCTGGTAGAAGGATACCTACAAAAAGAAGCAAAGCTGGCCGGGCTATTTATGTCTGATCATGGTGAATCTTGCTCCATCACCAGCCCCATTGTATTCTGGAGACATGTCTACTCTGGAAAGGAGAAGAAAGTAATCTCACGATACTTCAAGTCAGTAAGTAAAGAACGCCGCGGGTTAAGCCGCGGACGCAGTTATGGAGAATGTCAGCTTGGGTCCCTCCACTTACATGAACACCATGTAACGATACCAGGAGGATGAAGGATTCATAAAAGCTAGCTTTCCTAGCTTCAACTGTCTGTTAGGACCCGTAAAACGGCAGCCTACCTCTTCTACATGGGAGTTCGTATACACTTCTTACAGATTGATCTTGTTCGATACAATTCACTAACGTTCCTTCTACTACAATGAGCAGAAGCGTTGAATTACATGTACCTTGAGAGATGGTATCCCAAACTTATTCTATAGTCCGCTGTAATGAGATTTATCTGTCCTTATTATTACAATCTGATCCTTTACAACCAGTTGTTACTATATAACATCAATGTTGAGAATCTTAATGTCCTCCTCAGGCTTCTCCTTGTGCGTCCGCACATTCTCGATCTTGTGGATGATATCAAACCCTTGTGTGGCACGACCGAAAATTGTGTGCTTTCCATCCAACCAGGGCTATTAGGGGTTAGCTGATGTTCTTCCACAAAAGCACGGGGTTCAACTTACTGTCTTTTCTGTCGTAATAAAGAACTGACTGGCATTGGTGTTGGGTCCTGCATTGGCCATACTCACCGTAAACGGCTTGTCATGCTTGAGACTACTAAACTCGTCCTCAAATTCACGACCCCAGATACTCTCACCACCAGTTCCATCACCAAGAGGGTCTCCTCCCTGGATCATGAACTTCCGGATCACACGATGGAAGATTGTGTTGTTGTAATAGCCATTCTTGGAGTGTGTGACAAAGTTCTCGACAGTCTTTGGTGCCGCGTCGGGGAATAGACGGATGTGGATGTCACCATATGTCGTGTGAATAACAGCGCCGGTACCAGTTTCAGTCTTCTTGGCCTTGGCGTCCTTTTTGTGGCCCAGCATCGTGGGCTTTTCGTTTTGAACATCTCGTGTCGACTTGGAGATATCCTCCTCGTTCGTAAACATATAGAAACGTACTTTACCAACACCGGTTGCGACCAAGATTGGATCCCTGGTTTCTGCTTCTTGCAAAAGAGGGTTACTAGAAGCACCCATTTCAACTGTCGTGATACCCTTCTTCTGAGGTTGTCCTTGGTAGATGGCGATGTTGACAGCCCGGAAGTTCTCATCCTTACCATATACCTTGACCACTTGGTTGGTATATGTGTTGAGGACCTTGATTCCCAGCATAGAACCGTAAATAATAAAATTGCCTGACTCGTCAAAGATAACATTTGACTTGTCCTTCAGCGTTTCCGATTCGATGTCTCTCTCGTGGGCAGCTCGGCGCCCAAATTCGACATTATCCAGCTTAGCGGCTCCTGTTCCTGCTCTGTGCATTTCCTCGGCGACCTGCAGAGACTCGTCGTATTCGCGATGTAATTTGGCGGTTGCGAAATCAAACATGCGAATCTTTCTATCTGGTAAAGAAAAGGCAACGAAGCTCTTGCCGTTGGGTGAAATCGATAGACTTGCGGGGACTGACTTGGCCTTCTTGAAATCGAACAGGTTTGTTGAGCTCTTGTACTCAAAAACCCCCTCAGGTTTTTCGTAGTTGCCGCTTGGTCGCCAATACTCAAGCATGCCACCCTCGTCTGCCGAAACCACACAGTCGTATGCCTCGTTAAACGCCATTAAATGGACAGGCTTTCTGTGTAAGCCTTTGATCGTGTGGATGGGCTCTTCATTCTCTCCTCTTCCGTCGTAAATATGTATCAGGGGCTTCGACTTTTCGGAAACGGCTAGAAGCGGCAAGGAGGCGCCCTTTCTGTGAACCCAGCATACGCAGTTGGGAGCATATTTGAGAGAGATCATGGACAGCAGATCAAATGTGATAACGTCAAAGATCTTGACCGTTTCGTCCTCGCCAATAGTCGCAAAGCTTCGGCCATCATTGCTCACTGCAACCGCCTTGATCTCGCCATTGTGAGCCTTGAACTCCTTGACGAACTCAATTCCTTGCGCAATCTTCTTCCAGAACTTGACGACACCGTCTATCGACGATGTGATGAGGAATTCGGTCAGGGGAGTCCATGTCGCAAAGAGGATTTGCTCCTTGTGCATAAGAGACTTGGAATAGCGAGCCGACTTGGGTAGGGCGGCGACGTAAAGCTTTTCGTGGGGAAGGACTCGTCTTTTCTTTTTGGGGGCTTGAGAGGGTAGCTGAGGGCCCATGTCATCGTCAGAGGAGCTGTCTGCGACTATTGTCAGTATGATTAAGAGGCACGCGATGGATTGTATTTCGTACCTGAAGCATCGTCGCGAAATTCAGAGTGATTTCGCTTCTGTGAGCGATTGTCATCATCTGAAGCCATTTTGAATGATGATCCGGTCAGAAAGACTTGAAGCAAATAATTATAGATATCGCGACAAGTTTGTAGCTTGCCGATGTATCTTTTGGTCGATCTACAGTTTGCGACAGGATAAGATTGTTGTCTGGACAAACACAGCCTCGTGTGGCACGACCTTGAAAGTGTGGCTGACGGTTTCGATGATCCACCTTGCATGGATAGCTTCCTTTAAAGGGTCTGAGATCCACATTGAGGTCATGAAGGAGGGAAACGGGACTTGATGTGCTCCGAGACTCCGGCTCGGGTATGGTTCCTTGTTCTTTTGTTTTATGTACCTATATAATTAGAAGTCATGCCATATTAATAGACTAGAGACTTCACCTACACTTGTTCGAATTCTTCACCTTTTGTGTTAACATTGAGACTTGTCTGTATAACCTCATTGGGTTTCACCACCATGGCATCTCAACACTCTCTCCAAAAGCTGTCATCGCCCTCATGGGGTCTCTCGCTGGCCGTTCACCTTCTCGGCATAGCCTCCTTCAACTACAACTTCATGTTCCTCCAACAATGGGACGTTCCTATTGCAAAAGCCTACGGATGGCACTTCCAGTTCCTGACAATCCTTGGCCTTGCGGCGTCAATGATTGGTTTCATGTTCGGTGCTGCGGCTGATCTCACAAAGAGCCATACTCTCTTCCAGGTCAAGAACTACATCGCCGTTCTCGCTACACCCGTTGAAGTGGTTATCTCCATTTTGTACTGGGGTATCAAGTTCGTCGACTCGAAGCTGCTCATGCCTGACGAGTTCTACATCGACATTCTCCCGGATGTAGGATTCCACCTTGCACCTGCAGTTTTCTTGACCATCGATCTTCTCTTCTTCAGTCCTCCATGGACTATCCCGGCTTATGGTATGATGGCGCTCAGCACAGCCTTTACATTCGCCTACTGGTTCTGGGTTGAGCATTGCTATAGTCACAACGGATGGTGAGTTTCCATGGTCAAAATTGAGACATGTCATGCTTACACAATTAATAGGTACCCTTACCCTCTGTTTGAACTCCTTACGACGGGCCAACGGATTGCGTTCTTCACTTTTGCAGCTGCTTTGATTGTCGTTTCCGCATCAGGCCTTAAGTGGTTGTATGGACGAGTCAATGGTTACGAAACCGCACAGAAAGAAGCCCACAAGCCTCTTAAGCAGGTTCGATGATTCATTGACACCGGATGCAAAGGAAACAGTTAAGATCCTATTCTTCACCGATAAAGGTTATTGGAATATAAGATATTTGCCATTTTGCAAAATACCAGTAGATTATAAGTCTTGTACAGTGTAAGACTTCTTAAAACAATTATTGTATACTTGTGTATTGGTACATCACAGTTGGCGTTTGCTATGGAGCAGAAGCTTCCAATGCTATTTCAAAGGTTCATGCTGTAGTCCTTATAGTAATATCCATAATTGAAATATATCATGCTCGAATAATTCACAATTGACATGGGAATCATGACCATCGATGGCACCTTCTGTAACTAAGAGGAAGGCAGCTGTGAGTGAGTTGCCCCGCTCACAGAAGATGCTTCGAACCAAACAAACCCCACCAAAACTTCCTCCACATCAACGGCCAAGCTCCATCGAGACATTGCACTTTCACCACCAGAGCCTCCAATTCACAGCCCTGCTAAACACAAAATACATAACCATGGATATTGAAGAGATTCTTCGTCAAGTTGACCCCACGTCCCACGGCGTTCCTAATGAGACACGCGACCTGCAAGCTTTGACGCGTCTCTGGATCGCTGAGAGATCAGCCCCTGAGCTTCTAGAGTAGGTTCTCACTGTTACCGAACGGATATGACAGTTTTTAATAAGCTACAGATGGCCAACTGATGGACTATTTGATCGAGTCAATGCCCGCATCAAGTCTCAGATCGAAAAGGTTGAGGATATGACGGGTGACATGGATCCAAAAACCAACTTTGCCCTCATCGTTATCCAGACTGAGCTTGAGCGGTACAAGTTCCTTGTGAGAAGTTTCCTACGAGCTCGTATCGCAAAGGTCAACAAACCATAAACTCTAGTAGAATTATCAGACTAACTCTCCTTAGATCGACAAACACACCTTGCACTACCTTTCAAGCCAAGAGCTCAGAGACAGAATGTCTCCTACAGAAGTCGCCTACGCCACAAGACACCAGGCTCTTTTGCACAATCACTACCTCTCATCGTTTCTGTCATCTTTCCCCCAACAACTTCAGAACCTCAACGATACAGCAGGCAACATCAGCATGATCGACTCACCAGACCTTGACACAGCTGTTTTTATCCGCATGCTCAGAGAGAAGGACGTCCACGGTAGAGGAACCGATGCCGACATTACTCTGCCTGCTGAGAATGGCGACGTTCTCATCATGCGATGGTCCAGCGCAAAGCATATGGTCGACGTCGGGGATGCTGAGCTTGTCTGAGATGTTTGGCCCAGCCTAACAACAATTCGAGGCGGTCTGTACCGGAATGCACAGTCTGTATTCTGACAGCTCCGGTGGTGAGGTTGTACCATGACGGCTGCTATCCTAAACAGCACATACCCTGGCATTGGCATGATGGGCGCAAGATCGGGCTATATCGACTATATACGCCTAGATCTTACAGCTTGTCAACACCCTTCTGATACCACCATTGCCCTAATCACGGGTGAAAACAAAGATGTTGGCTTCCAGGCCGTGAGGAAACTGCCGAGAGAATAAAGGATATTGTCTCCGGTCGTCGTCCAGACGCCGTTGAGGAGGCGACATCTTTCCTCCAAGCACTTCTTCTCCCTCATTCGCTGCATCACCAGTGCAGTCAGAGCCGCCGGTGGTAGACTCAACGACCCTGAAACTCTCGTCAACAACAGTGCCGTTTCAGGCTACGACTTGTGCATCCCTTTACTGGAGCTCAAATTGCTGTCTACAACACCAACGGCATCGACACTACACTTTTGACAAATGGTTTCATCCCGTGGCTCAAGAAGTCTAAGGCTCTTCGCGTTATCTTTGTATCTACTCCCCTTGACATTCTGTCTCTAAAGGCTAAGTTATGTGCCCATCACTCGATCTCGATTTTGGTGTTTATATACACGTACCAAGCCAGCTCTAAACATGCTCGCTCTTCACTATGCTATTGGTTACGAAGATGCGTAGTAGCAAGTCAACATCACCTGTCCAGGACACAGCTTCAAGGCCACATTACATTGAGATGCGGGAGGTGGAGCTGATGAAGCCCAGCAACATCTCCTACCATGCGGCCATATTAGCAGCTAACGAAGAGACTGGTATATGAAAGCATTCGCCATGCCGGGTATGTGAATTGCCCTCGACTCTGGATATGTCAACAGATCACAGATGAATGGGATACAAGTTCGTCAAAATATACAATCGTTATATAACTTTCTGAAATGGTATCCTCAAATATTATGCCATGCTTCAAGTCTAAAATGCTTCGCATGCATATGAACAAAAACTTCAACCAGAACGCCGTTTCCAGAACCATGCCATCTCTGGACTAACTGAGTAGTTGCCTTTCCTTATCTTCCCATCCTATCCGTTCCTTCGTACCCAATAGTGATTTCTTTTGTTCTTGTTTGCAAGATTGGCTGGACTTGAGTTCAAGGAAAGTGAATATCTAAGTATGTACCATGGCTTAGCTTCGAACTTAGGCCTCACTATGTGATGTGCCTGGTCGTCCTTCCAAAAGAGCTTGTTCACGTCGCATTTGCTGCCAGCGATATGGCAGTACAGCGCTGCGGAGACCAACAGAATGCAGACGACGCTGATCAGGCAATCCGACAAAACCGGCGGAAGGCTGACGATGATGAAGCGTATACGGACGCCAGTCGCCGCTGGCACTCTTGGGGGGCGAATCAGTGGGCGAATCCTCCTCATCAGGATCGTTATGAGCCTTCAGATCGATCTCAAGAGTCAAGGCTGTTGAGTATCGGCGTCCAGGAAGCGTGCTGGTGCGAGGCCTGGTCCGAGGTCGCGAGAGAGCGTCGGAGAAGTCAGAGACATCAAACCTTCGAGGTGTCTCGGGTCCCTTTTCCTCGTCTGCTTCTGGATCAGGGAAAAATTCTCCTTGGAGGGGCAACCTTTCTGGGGGTGCTGAAGCAATGGTCGGCATGAAAGGACGCTCACTAAGTTTAGCAGTCTCCTCATGTGACTTGGGCGACTCGGTCGATACAACCTGGACATCTTCAGCGACTGTGGCAGCAGGCTCAAGAAGTGTATCTTCTGGGACGGTCTCAAGGAAATGGGTAATCATCTCGGGGTAAGGCTCAGGTACCGCATCTGCCACCTGCGCTTTCTGATCCTCGATCTCCGCATCATCTGCGATTACAGGTTCCTGAGCAGTGGTCGTGGTAACAGGAGGTAGAGAAGTAATCTCGAAGTTCTCTGGTCCACCCATTGGCTGGACCTCCTGGTCCTTCGCATCCTCCAGCATTGAGATGCCAGAATCGCTCGATGTTGGCGCTCCTCCAACAGTTTGCGGGTTGTTGACCTGGAGCAGCTCATGGGGTTCCTTCACCAAAGGAGCCGGAACTTGGACTGTGTAGTCCTTGAGGTCTTCCTCTTTCTCGTCGCTGCGGTCAACCTCTCCATTGTGAGAGTGGATTGAAGGAGGCTTGGGGAAATATGTCAACACAGAAACATCGATTGTTTGCTGTGCATTGTTAATGTCTGCAGCACAAGACTTCTCAACACTGACAGCGTCGGCTTTAGGTGTCGGCACTTCAGAAGCGTTGGGCAATTGTGTCTCTGGTATCTCAGCCTCCTCTCGGATGCTGGCTGCAGGAGTACTTCCAAAGTTCGTCTCAGACTTTGAGTTTACCTCGACCTCACGAGGCAGATCTTTGGTCTCAGCCTGTTCATCTTTCAAAGCGGGAATACCCACAAGACTCTCTTCAGTAGCAACCTCAACCGCTGGTTCCTCGGACTTCGAGACCTCCTGTTCTGTGGACTGCTCTGGGACAGCGGTTGGAAGTTTCTCCATAATTACATCGGGCTCTTGAAGCTCAGATGTTACGAGAGCTGTGGGTTTTGTTTCTTCTCGAGATGCAACAGGCTCGTCCACCTTCGACCTGGCGATCTCATCTGCATCACCTGATAGACCTGTTATGCCAGCATCGGGTGACTGGATAGCCAGTTTCTTCTCAGAATCCTCGAGCGGCTTGTCCTTGGTGAGCTGAATTGGCTCATCATCATCGGTAATTGGACGGTGAAATTGGACCATGCCACTCGCGATCGCATCCATGTCAGATTGCTCTTGATAGATGATTCTTCGTCCATCCTCGACGATCCGCAGTCCCTCATTGGACTGGTCATGGGCCGTCGGCCGCGATGGGGTAGCGACTACACTGTCTCGGGGGCTTATGCTATCAGTATCTACCAGGCTTGGAGTAGACGGGGGTTCGGACTGGTTCTCGTCGTCTGCCATGAAATCAGACATGTAGCCATGCTTCTTGGCCATCTCAACGCCTGAAGGAACCCGGCGCAAGTCGTGTTGTGGGGTAACTGGTGTCGAAGGAGGCTCGATAGAGTCTCTCAAATTTTGCATCGCAACCTTCTTGACAAGTGGATTGTCAGAATGGCTGCTAGCAAAAGATCCGTTGAAAGAGGCCTCAGAAGCTTGGCGTAGGAGAGGAGAGGCAGCAAGTGAAGGCGTAGTTGGCGCGACAGATGAACCTGCTGTCGACAAAGCAGGTCTAACCGATGAACCTGCTCCAAAGGAAGATGCATGAGTTCCGCTTGCCTTGAATCGCAAGTTGGGCAGTGTTTCGGGGCAGTCGATCGCGCAGGTATCCCTGCAAAGCATTGTGATATCTGAACGAATACGTTCTTTCAAATGTGCCTCCAAAGCTTTGCGCTCCAGGTCAGGGGTAGCAAACTTTTCAAAATGCACGTTATCATCACCGCCAGCACCATCCAGGAAGCCATCAAAGATGAGATGACCCCGCTTGTGAACGGTCATGGTAGCAAGAGCATCTTCGTGATGCTCGAGAACATTGCTGATACCGGTCTGAAGGCGCTCCATGACGGCTTCCATCGTTTGACGACAGTATGTAACCGTTGGGTCGAGCCGAACAACAAAAGGCTCGTGAACAGACCAGTTCTTACCACGCAACTCGTGAATGGTAAGAATGAGATCATCCAAAGAGCGCATTGACTTGTCTGTCATATCGCGAGCTTTCTCCAATTTTGCCTTGACCTGGTTGGCGAACTCGTCAAAGTCACGGCCATTGTGGTCATTGAAGAGAACCTTGCTCGTTTGGATACGGTGGGAGAAGTAGGTATAGTCAGGGCCAATGTGGTTGCGGACCTTGACCATGATGTCCACGGCTCCATCCTCGATATGGGAGCAGCCACCGCTGCCTTCTAGTCCCGCGCATGACTTATGACGCTTGTCAAACTTACGTTTCCAGGCGTCGACGGGATCAATAATGAGATTCGACACTCGAGTTGTCAACTCTTCACCAAGCAGAAGAGGCAAAGGTGAGGGCTGACGGCTGTCAATTTTGATGGAGGCGTTTCGGCTTTCTGGATAGCGGGTGGCGCAACGACTGCGCAGGAAAAGCTCAACGGAATATCCAGAAACGAATTCAAATTTCTGAGAATCGTGAACGAAATGGGACTGAGGGATGCAAGCCATGGATTGAGGTCGGCCAGTGCACGGCCGAAAGGACTCGGACTCGGACTCGGGGCTGGCCGGTTCAGTCTCAGGGGACTCAGACCATCGAAATCCGGGGTCGTGGCGCACTAAGAATAGGCCGATAATCCGGTCGGTAGCAGCAACAACCTCGCGAGTATCATCATGTGTCAACTCATACTCTTGGAAAGAGCGCAACGACTTTTCTACAAGATTGATACCATCGCGCTCAATACGATATGTAATGCGATATCGCAATGGTTTCACATCACGATGTGGCTTGCGAAGGGGGTCGAGCGCATTGCTGTCATGGCGTGTGATAAGCTCCGATGAGCAATGCTGTAGGCGTGAAAGAAGCGCTTGACAGATGCGATCCGTAGCGTTTAGTTGCGATGAAGATTCATAGTCGCGTACATGTTCAGAGGCATGTTGGCCTTCGAACTTGACTTCGACATGTACTCGAAGACCAGGTTTGGTAAGTTTTTGAGGTGAAGGAGACGCAGGTGGTGATACCACAGAAGGAACAGAGGCTTCTGAAACATCCGAATGTCGGGTTTTTCTCCTACTTAGAAGAGGGAACCGACGCTTGGTACTTGATAAAGAGAATGAAGGTGAAGAATGGGCATCGGCCGAGTTACTTGACCGCCGGAGGGGCATATTGAGTCAGCCTCTTATAACAACCGGTTCTTAACGTTGGGATTTTCGACTGCCGTTTAAGTGGACGATGCGATAAGAGTTTTGGTACTCAACGGCACAAGGTTTCCATTGAGGACCGTTCAGATGTATACTGCCGTGTGCAGAAAGCGAGATCGTACACGGAGGCTCTCGATTACAACAGAAAACTCAAAAAGAAAGAGATGTCGAGGAAGAAAGATTAGAGTCGTGAGGCCGGGCGCAACAAAAAGTAAAGGCCAAGGCAATCAAGACTGGGCGGCGGGGTTACTGATTGCAATCTGGGAGGGATCGACTAAGACGCAGGTGCAGGCGGAGACCAAAAGTCTTGGATACTTCGTTAGGTCAGACAACGAAATGTCTATCGATAGGTAAATGGATGGTAGGTTGGATCAATGAGTGATAGGGCGTTTCCAGGGATGTGCGTTGGCGCAAGTAGAATGGACCGTCGACTGTGACCGTATACGGACAGAGATGTTGCCGTGTAAAAAGGCTGTGGCTGGTCGAGCTAAGTTAAAGAGATTGAAGCACTAATAGTGTCTGAGACGATCGCGAAGAACAAAATATGGGTTTTCACTGGTGAACATGAGGGGGGAGGGGAAACCGCCTTGCACGGCGCATGAAGCGTGGCGGGTCTTTTTAAAGATTCTTTGCTTGACGATGGTGTTGCTTCTTCTTCTCTATCCGTAACTGCTGCCGGCTGTCCTGGAATGGACAATGCTCATAGTGGTAGCCCGTCCATGGATCGATTTTCTCCAAGGCAGATTGCCCATGACCCGGTGCATCTCGCAGAGGCTTTCACAAAGTGGACTGTTATCTTGTCATGATCCAGCAATTCTTTACCGGGACGCGCCGGCGGGGAGGGGGGTCGCTAGGGGTGGTGCTTTGTAGACTTCCGTGCGTTCTTGGTAGACCTGGTTGATCATGCCATGGGCGAGCTGGGCGTGAGATGGGATGGAGGGCGCAAGACCTGAGACCCTGTTCTTTGGGGCATCTGGCTGATGGTTATGGCGTGACATGTTTGATTTATATGATGGACGATCTTTCTCAGCCTCAGACAGTTCCTGATGATGTTGTCCAAGTAAACAATTAAGTTGTTGAGGCTGACGGTTGAATCACTGTAGCCTTCCTTCCATTTCCCAGGTCCTTCTAAAATTATTCTTTCCCTCTGTACCTAGGTGGTTCTTTCCTACAAATACGAATACCCACTGACCCCACGACAAAATCGAGCCCAGCTTTCCACTTGGTATAAACGGCTATGGAGATCCGATACCGATAGCACGCAACAGCACCTGCCTCCTGCATTTGTGTGCAAGTCATAGTTACTTAGCAAGCTTAGCTCTGCTAGTGCGGGTTGATAACCTTGCAACGACCCCTGGAAGTTGGAGGTTGGCCCAAGCTTATGGGCGCCTCAGTGGGGTTTTCGCATCCGTTTGCCTCCACTATTCAAGTCGAGCATTTGACCCTGGTCTTTTAATTCCTTTATCATTCGATAATAAAAGTGAGGTCTTTGACTAGAAAAAAATGCCAGGATGCAGACTCAGATTTGGGCTCAAGCTAGAGCTACTTGCTGTTTGTCTCAGATCAAATTTTCTAACCTTTGCTTGACTATGATTTGTGCCCTCAGTTTGTTCGTTAGGATACTGTATGCAAGGGATTAGAGGAGAGTTCTGTTTTACCTATGATGAATCTCTGCATATTCAGTAGCCTCATTCCTGACAGTTGAACCAGGGAAAGAAGGTTTTCATCGGATCCATAATATGAACCCTTGCACTCGCTTAACAGCGCAAGCGACATCATTCTTCTAGACGTCAGCTTTTGGAGATCACAGCTGACATTGCCGTAAATGGGGGAATTCTCGTTGGATCCAAGAATATCTCGTGAGATGAGTCCCATGCATATGACGGACTAATCAGGCACTTTCGGGGTCAGCCAGCCTTGTCGAACCTTCTCTCGTTGGTTTCGGCAGATTGGTTGGTCGTGTACTGTATTTTATTTGATCGTCTGATTTCCCCTTCAATTTCCTTTTTCGAACTCACCGTCCTCCTTCAGCAGCTGGTGATCGTCAAATATCTTTCAAGAGTTGTCGTCTAAATATGACAAAGCGGCATCTGACCAATCACGACTCAAATCTTGAACTCTAAGCCCTACCATGCACACCACTTCATTCCTGATGCTGCGGTTGTCGATGAGCTGAATGGACGTTTTTGGGAACTATCAAATCTTAAGGCCTTCGACACTTAATTGATCGTCGATACTGTGCATTCGCATTGACTTGCCAACTGTTCTGACCTTGTTGGATAACAACCATTACTACAATGACCAACAATACAAGAAACAAATTCAAGGCAATCTTACCTGAAAAGAGTCCTGCCGTAATCCTGCATCAAGATCTGGCCACTGGCGAATCCGTTCACCATTGCCGCTGGGTCTACTTCCATCCAACTCGCTGAAGTCAGACCACGCTTGCGCACTCCATGCCAGGCTTCCCCGGCGGCATTTATGTACAGTCTCTGTATTCGCATTGTGCATCGTGCATTGCAGGTTGCAGCACTAATTCCGATTGGGAATTACTTCACGGTTTGGCTTCAATGAGCTCTGATGAGGCCATCGTGAAATCACTCACAGCGACTACTCAACCAATTGAGGTCAACCAAGTCTATCATTTTTGTTTCGAGACGCAGCTTACACTACCACATCCGTAATGGACACGTATTAAACGGAAGGCCTCTGCTACCCAAGAACATCCCGTATTCAATACAATGGCCTTATCATCGCATCCTTGTCTGTATTCCTCCCGATTCATTCCGGAATCTCAGGTCAGCGTTGGTTCTCTTACCCTACAGACATCCGACCACGCCTCGGAATTGATACCTTTTGACATCTCATGATGTTTATCGAGCATGTACATCATGTCAATAATCAAATCCTTCATAGCAAATGGCCTCCGCATCGGCGGCCGGCTCCATCCTGTTAAGTACGTACATGAACTTGCCCGCATATGCTGTCCCCATAGACCGGAAGCGAAATGCCAGCCCAGTCTCTCGGCTTTCGTCCGGGACAGTGGACAGTGAGCCGCTTATAGAAAATGCGATCCACAGCTTTATTTCAAGCAGGGGTTTTGTGCAGTGACTGCATGTAAGTCGCTGTAATGGTCACACATTGAGACAATTCAAGGCCGGTTGAACCCGGCCAAGGTCGGTAGTATTGTTAAGGTTTCAACAAGCAGATGATGAGTTTGCCCTTTTGTTTGAATGTCAATCCCGATTTGAGATGTAAAAAGAAAGGAAAGCAAGTTGTCCTTGATTCATTGCTGACCCAGGTCACGATGCCTCTGAGCCAGTTGGGAGACTGCATATCGACCAGGTTTAAATTATTATTACCCTTCCTACCGTAAGAACAATGGCTGGATAAAGATCGAGACCGTTGGTATGTCTTAGACGAATCTGGTCATAAGCCACTGCTACCCACCGGATATCTCTCGGAGTAAAAGATTGTGGTTATTGCTTGATGTTGTAGGGTAGATGAATCTCATTCTACCACAATAAACTCTAATCGTCACTTGGGCGTCACTTGGGAAGGAAACTCTCTGTAGCTTCTTTCCTGGAGCGGGTGCTCCCGCCACGAATTTCCTATTCTGGTAACCGGACAAAACACCACGACTGGACTTCGCGATGCCGTACAGCTAGACAACAAAAAGATAGAAAATCACCAAAAGGTAAAAAATCAAAAAGAAATGTTGATAACGGCGCTGGAGCGATGCTCCCACCAGGGCTTGAACCTGAGACCTTCGCATTACCGGATACTCGGTGTGAAGTATTAGTACGACGCTCTAACCAACTGAGCTATGGAAGCCGATCAACTGT